GTCCACAGCGTTTTTATAATTAGCATTAGAAAGTTCCATACCCGATATAGCGCGGTAGGCATCACCTTTCAGGACACTTCTCAGGTAGTTAAATTTCTCGACTGGAGCTAAGTCTTCTCTCTTGTGTACTGCTGCTTCATAGGAATCCCAGAAAGAGAACCAGGTCATCACATTTCCATCAAAATGTGGTAGGTAATAGGTAGGAAGTGAAACAGCACTTTTTGGCTTATGAGGAGTCGGCTGTTCAGGATCAGCAGAAGGTTTGGGTGGTGCTGGAGGGACAGCAGACCCTTTCTTTATCTCAGATTCAAGTTGACAGATTAGGTCGCCTGTCTTGAAAGTCAGATCAGTAGCTTCATCGAGGGTAGTTTCACATTTTTGGCTTTCATCTGGGTCAGTTTCGATAGCTATGGTAAGTTTTTCCATGGCCTTTTCAAGGTGTTTTAGCGACGTGTTCAGCAAGTCACGTTGCAGTTCAAGTTTTGAGTTTGACACAACATCGCCATCGGTCGTGGTTTTTAAAAGTTCTTCACTGTCGTTAATTTTTACCGTTACGTTGTTTTTCGCCTTCGTCAGCGACGTCTTGAGGATCTTCATAGACATCTTGACTGCTTTTAGGCCTGTTTGGTCAGGCTCCCGGGTTTCGGCACCAATTTATGTGGCAATTTATCGCAAACATAAGAATAAAACTTTGTTTTTAGCTATACGCCATTTTTGTTTATTATGTCGCCATCTATCGGCAACAGACAAAGTTAAACACAATTCTCTCGCATTCGCGACAGCTTACGAAAATTTGATGAGTTATATATTATGTTTTTTTTAATTGGGACACGAGCTCGTGTGAACAGATTGAAGAATCCCTCCTGCGTTGAAAGCTGCTAGACGGCGCTCGCGTCTTCCTAGATGAAGTTTGCGGTCGCCATAACAACCGTATTGTATGTCGCAGAGGTTGACGACTGCAAGGAGGAGTCGTGCCTCAACGGCGGAGGCTGCATAGATGCGCATCGTGGCTTTAGCTGCGACTGTGTGGGAACGGGCTTCACCGGACCACACTGCGAGACAGGTATACGGCCCATCAGCCTGCTGCTGCTGCTGCTGCTGCTCCTCCTCCTATTTTCCTCATCATTATCATCATCATCATCATCAATATCATTATTATTATTATAATCATCATCATCATCATCATCATCATCATCATCATCATCATCATCAACATCATCACCATCACCATCCTTCTATTTTTTCTTCTTCTTCTCCTTCTTCTTTATCTTCTTCCGCCTTACCCTCATCTTCTCCGGCATCTTCCTTCCACTCCTCAGCTTCTTCCTCCTCACTACGTCTTAATTAGCTGCGACCGCTAATTGCATTACGGACGACAAGCATCTCGCGGGCGATGCATTTTTGATGGGCTGGGGGCCACAGTAAGCGCTCTCTACACGCACCCCCGCGCGCGCGTGGTGTGTGTGTGTGTGTGTGTGTGTGTGTGTGTGTGTGTGCGTGTGTGTGCGAGTGCGTACGTACGCGCAGTATTCGTATAGCGATCCTACGCGGCCTACATGATCCACGACGATCACAGTACCGCTGTACTGCACAACCAACAGCTCATCGGTTTGAGTGTTCGCTCGGCTGCCGGCGGCCGTGCGCAGGCGAGCAGCGCGCGATCGCACCGACAGCACGACGACTCCCTCCGCCACTCCCGCGCATAAACAACGCGCATAAAAAAACGCGCATAAAAAAACGCGCATAAACAAACGCGCATAAACAACGCGCATAAAAAAACGCGCATAAAAAACGCGCATAAAAAACGCGCATAAAAAACCGCGCATAAACAAACTCGCATAAACAAACGCGCATAAGCAACGCAAATATACTCAATACGCGTAAACAAATGCGCATAAACAAACGCGCATAAACAAACGCGCATAAGCAACGCAAATATACTCAATACGCGTAAACAAATGCGCATAAACAAACGCGCATAAACAAACGCGCATAAGCAACGCAAATATACTCAATACGCGTAAACAAATGCGCATAAACAAACGCGCATAAACAAACGCGCATAAGCAACGCAAATATACTCAATACGCGTAAACAAATGCGCATAAACAAACGCGCATAAACAAACGCGCATAA